GAAAAATTTCACTTAAACTGTCCGAAAAATGACCAAATTAGACCAAAAATGATATTATTTTAGCTCGTTTTGCTCGATTTAGTTCGTTTTTGAACTAGAGACTCATTTATTTTGTAAAACCCAGACAAAACACGCCTAAAAAATCACAAAAATAAATCGAATAGATATTATTTTCTTTGTTCAAGTCGATTTAACGAAATTTAGTCAAAAATAAGACAAAATTTGGTCAAAATTGTGTTATTTTTCCGTTTTTCAAACCTGCAAGTTTTAAATTTTGCCATTTTTCAGCGTTTTAAAATGTTTTTTCACTAGACAATTTTATAAATTTGCTTAAATTGGCAACACTGAATAATGTGGATATCAAATCGTGCCAAATGACGGGTATATCCACGGCCACCCGTCACAAACGAATGACAATCTACTATAAAATTCTGACATTTGAGTTTGATACTCACTGTTGCCAACTTAATAAATAAATACTTACTTTGCCACTCGCTCGACTTGATACAACTTGGTCAAATTCGGCATTAAATTCGTCTTGACCGTGTCAACAACCACCACCACAGCCTTCTTCAAAGGGGTTAAAAACAACCCAAACATGTGCTGCGGCTTACTGGGATGTCGATGATGATAAAAATACAACCTTTTCACGGAATCCTTCACCAGGTACTGCTGTCGCCCCATACACATATCCAAATCCTCCAATGAGAAACTTTCCAAACTTGACACCCCCGGTACCACCTTACATAAACACCCAATTTGGACAAAAGTCCGAAACAAGGGGGGCACTTGTGTCTCATAGACACCCTCAACATTGGGATCAGTCTGGTCCAGGTACAACTTTCGGCCGTGTTCTTGGAACACTTCCTCGGGAACACTATACATGTACAAATTGAACACTTGTCGTGTGCGGGGCAAAGTCCTGTTACATTTCCGGAAAAGAGCCCCTTCTTCCACCACTTTTGGTTCTTTCAAGTTGGCGTAGAAAATCCTCGGTACTACCAACTTAATTTGGTGGAGTTCGTTGAGTACCAACGCCCATAATTTATACTCCCCTGGCGTTGGCATTGGAACCACTTGAATAATCTGCCACGGGAGCGTCAAAAGAGTCTTTTGGGCCCGTTGCAGGAACCCTCCCAAGGTACCACTCGTGGTACTACGCAAAACCGAAGCACTTGACTTGACCTTTTTCCTGTTTCGCGTCCCTTGGTTCCTTTGCAAGGCCTGGAAGAGCCATTTGCGCTTCTGGAAGGCTATCCAAGCCACGTGGTGCTGTTTGGTACTACCATAAGGGGGCGGGTTCCCCATAACCTCGCGCCAAGTCTTGCCCAGATCCTCCTCGTCGAATTCTGACTCGTCGGAACCACGTTTTCGCTTGACTGTTGTCACAATTGGGCGTTTTTCGGTGGTACCAGAAGTGGTACCAAAATCCTCAATGTCGCGTATTTGAGGTTTAAACATGTCGGTGATGCGACGTTGTTTGAAAGTGTCGTTCTTTTCGAGCATTTTCTTGTGGAGCCAATCAGGATGGCGTACACGTGGTACCGGATTGGGTACTCCTTGCATGGCCGCCGGGATTGTAATGATTTTCTGGATTGCGCCCCCCAGACGCTCGATGTAGTAGTTCCAGTCGAGGATTTCACGAATGTCGACTTCGGTTATGGAATTGTCTTTGAGCCATTTGCGTAGGTAGTAACGCTGGACGCTGATTTCCGACTGGAAAATGGCCAAAGGGATGGCTCTGAAAGTTTAATTTTGAGAAATTTCAAAATTTGACCTTTAAATTGTTTATTTCCATTTTCTCGAGTTTTTTTTTTGGTGATTTTTGAAAGGCTATATATATAAAAAAAAAACAATTTGAAGCTGCAAGGTTCTAGTTTTGGAACTTAGTTTCAGTTACTTGTTAAATTTGAAAAAAAAAAATCCCAAG